GTGTGGTGGGCTGGAATCAAGCCGGCGTGTCCTAAAGAGTGACCCAGTGAATGACCCAAAGAATGGCCCAATGGTGACAAGGAGATAGGGGTTAGATGATGTTGAGGTATGTGGTGCACCTGGGCTAGCTGGGCATGGGCAGGGTGGGGATGATGTGGGTTATGGGGATGGATGCCCATAGCAGCAGCGTGGTGCTGCAGGATGGCATGCTGGACTGAGGTAAGAGAGGTAGCAGTAGCTGCAGAAACTGTGGGTTGTTGAATGTGGATATGCTGCAGTGCAGCTGGTGGGGGCGGTGGCGCTGGGGCAAGGTTGGCCGCTGCTGCCAAATTAGCTGCTGCTGCAGCAGCTGCAGCTGAGGGGAAGGTCTTCACCTGCTTGGCTAACAGTTGCTGTTGAATGTGCTGTTGAGCTGCTTGCTGCAACTTGCTGTATTTCTCCATTTCCTCTGGGGTAAAGGTGATTGGTTGACTTTCTAAAGGTGCAAGACCATCCTCTTCAGGTTCTATGCCCATTTCCCCATCCTCCATGTTGGGAGGGTAGCCAGGGTAGGCATGCATAGTAGGCTGCGGACCCATTTCGGGCCCCATTAAATGTCCGTCCAACATGGGATTGTTGGGGTCTTGTCTGGTTTCACCTTGGTATTGAGACATCATCATTGCTGTATCCTGCTCATATTGTGGTTGAGACTCATGAAGGGCTGGAGGGTCCGAGGGTGGATGTCTGGTCTCCTCGGACACCGCAGCATTTGATACAGCCTCCTCCAATTGCTGCTTTTGTTGTTGTTGCTGCTGTTGTTGAACTGGTGGCTGAGGTGGAGGAGGAGGTGGGGGGAACTCACGAATGGGTTCTACCAGGATAACTTCATTACTATCTGAATTTTTCCCTTGCTCTGACTTTTCGCCCTCGGTTAAACGTGTAAAAGGAAATAACGGCTTTTTTCCTGCTTGGAGCTTGCCAAAAAGGGGCAACATACTTTTGTTTCCAAGGGCAGGGGGGAGCTTGGGCCCGAAGTATCCCTGTGGAGGGTCCTTGATCTTGAGGCCTGTCTTGGTGCCAGTACCAGATTCATCCCCTCCTTTTTTAGATTGGATTTTCTCCAAGAGTTGTCGAGCTGTGAATGAATTTCGATGTTCTGCTGCCCCTCCTCTTTCCTTTGAGGAAGCTCCACCACCTCTTGTTTTTTGTACAGATGAAGAGTTGCTGTTTCGGGTTTGTGTGCGGGAAGAGGACCTTGGAGACTGGGAACGGTAGATTCGTGACCGGTTGAAATCCCGCCGCCGCGTCGAGCTGTCAGATCGTCGGCTGTGACCGTGCCGATGTGGAGATCCCTTGGTGGAGCTAGATGATCGACTAGCAGAGCTACGGCTGCGACTGTAGCTGCTGCGTCTGTAAGAACGAGCGCTGCTACTCCTACTACTACGACTGGAGCTGCGACTACTGCTCCGTTGGTGTCTCCGCCGATGATGCTTCCTGCGGCTGTGTGAGCGTGAACGTGAACGGGAGTCCACCTCTGAAGAAGATGGGGTGTAACGTCGCCTGTGAGATCGCCCACTATCATGCCTTTCATAGTCTGAGTCAGAGGAAGGTCTTCTTGATCTGCGGCGATGCCCTTCATCACTGTAGTCACTGTAACTGTCTGAATAGCTATGGCTACGGCGACTGTAAGCACTGCTCCCTGCTGAGGAACGCTCAGAGCTACTTGAGTAGGAATGACTGTGTGACTTTTGACCTCTGTGGTGTCTATGGTTGTGGTCTCCTCGATGAGACGACCTACTACGTGAACGTCCTGATCGTCCAGAATCGTCACTGCGGTGTCTTCGCTGCTCACGTGGTGGCGTGGAGTGATGGCGAGCTGGTCGAGAACGTTGAGAGGATGATCCACCATCCTCCTCGCTGTCACTACTTGGAGGTCGACCTCCACTTATGCTCTTTTGGGCGGAGGCAGAGCAGGAGGCGGCAGGTGTGTTGGTGTCAGGTTTAAGACGTTTAGTACCATTGTGTTCCTCTGTAGAGCTAGGCTTTCCTGCACTGCTTTCCTCAACTTTAGACCCCTGAGACATTTTGTGGGAACGTTTTCTCTTTCCTCCTTCATGGGATGTGCTTACTCCTGATGACGGAGCAGTGGCTACTCCATCTTTGTCATCCTTGTCTTTCTCTTTTTCCTTACCGTCACCTCCCTCTGCTTCAATTTCATCAGTGCTACGTGGTTTATTTTTGCTTTTCTTTCTTTTGTGTTTCTTCTTCTTTTTAGTTTTCTCTCCTGGAATCTCATTTTCTAACTCCCCCTCCACTGCTGCTTTTTCTTTACGTTTGGAACGCTTGCTTGACTTCTTGTGTTTCTTCTTCTTCTTCTTTTTCTTAGACCCTGCAGACTCATCTTCATTACTTTGTAATTTCTGCTCGTTGTTCTCACTCTCACCACCCTCCTCTTTCAAGGATGATTGTTCTTTTTGAACTGTACTGGACCCTGCAATCATTGTAGCAGTGCAAACCTCTCCACTAGTGGCTGGAGTACTGCCTGTGTTTTCAGGCTTAGAACCCTCTCGTCCTTCAGTGCTAACTGGCTTGGCAGGTTTTCTGTTTTTGCTTGCCCAGTTTCCTTTGTTTCTTGACAGTTTGAAGTCAAAGTAAAGAGGATTACAACTGTAGGAGAGGGATGGCTGAGCCTTAGTAAACTCCAACAATTCAGAAGGCCACTGCAAGGTGGTGCTTTCATCCTTACTTAGCACAGGAAAGAAAGGCCCAGTTTGCATGCGGGGACCTGTATCTGTGGGCTCGGACATTACTTGCTTGGTATCAGCTTGTTGGGACGAGCTATCTACCACTGCTGTATCACCTAGCCCTGCAGGTGTACTACCTGATTCTTCCTCTGTCTTCGCTGTAGCTGATGTGAGATTTGTGTTTTGTGCCTGTGTAGGTTCATTCCCAATGTCTTTTTCAGATGTGCAGCTGCTGACTTTGATATGTTCTTGCTCTCCGTCGTTACCTGCTGCTTCCTTCTCATCTTTTGCTCCATCTTCCTCCTCCTCCTTGCTATCACACTGGTCTGAAGCCTTCATGAAAAGCAGAAACTGGAAATGCGGCTTGACCCGACAATGTGCAGGTGGTACATAATGGTAATACTGTGGTTCCTGTCCAGAGTAACCTTCCTCCTTTTTCATCATCATCTTCAGTTTGTTCAAAGTCGAGGCCAGGGCACCTCCATCATCTGGTTGTGACTGCTCTTCCTCACCCCCACCACTTCCACCTCCTCCTCCTGCTGCTGCTTGAATATCAATGGTGGATGCCACACCTATGTCCTCTCCTCCAGTCTTTTCTCCTCCCTCTTCCTGACCTTCTTCTCCTTCCACTGTCTCCTCACCATGGTCTGCAAACACAGCGGCAGCCGTCTCAAGTTTGACTGGGGCTTTCTTAGCAAAAGAGAAGGAGACACTCAATTTGGGACCTTGTGAGCCTCCAGAAGGTACTGGAGAAGAGCTAGCTTTGTTAAAACCAAAGCTGATGGCAGGGCCTGTTCTAGGGGAGCCTTGACCACTAACACTACAGATTCCCTTATCTTCAATAGCCTCTGTGTTGGTGTCCACTGTCATAGGCACTCCATCCATGGAGTCTTCCCCCTTTTCTCCATCTACTGCCACTGTGGTAGTTTTAAACATAGGGCCACTACCAGGGACACTGCAAAATAAAATAAAGAATGAGAACTTGTGCTACAACTCGCAACACTCTTTAAAAAAAAAAAACAGAAGTTCTGCTCAATTTTGCTTACCAGTCTTGCTGTTTCCTCTGTTCGGCCAGTTCAAGAAGCCGCCGTAACATCTTCTCCTGTTTCTTGCAATCCTTCCTGGAACGAGAAGACACATTCCGGGCAAACTCTCTCTGCTTCAGCTCCTTCAGTCTCTGTAGGATTAAACAGAGAAGAATAAGAATTTGTTATGAGATGTAGCATCACAAGTCAAATTGATCTTTGAATGTGAAGAAAATTATTCCGTGTTCAAAACTGTTCAAAGTTCAAGCTGTTAAGTACAGTCATGTCGATGCAAATCTCTCATACCTGCTTGTGTGCATGATCGTAGGAGTTGATATGATTGTCAAACTCCTGATGTTTCTGGTATTGCTTATCACACAGTTCACAGTAGAAATTGGCCCTCAGGTCCTCTAAAGCTTTAGCTATGGCTTTTTCCTTCTCCGCATAATCCTGCAAAACACAGAACAACATATCATGAAATATTAATGGACTCAGGTTGAATGGGCTTGGAAAACTGACTTGCATAGGCAATTTTTGGCATTAGTGGCAAAGGTAAATAAACATGTTGAGTTATGTACTGCATACGTAGGATAGTTTGTCAAAAGACATTGAGTTTGTGTGAAGGAGAATGCAGCATACATATTAACATGTTTAGAACACTACACAGCTTTAGAGAGAGACACTTTTCTTAGGTTACCCACAGTTATCCTCAATGACGTTTTTGTATGTTTTTTTTGTATGTGGTTGAGCTGCAGTGGAACAAGAGAAGCTTTGTATCTGTCCAAGCATATTGACTGTGACAAATCAATCTCAAACATTCACAGAATTTTAACTAGATACGACTCATGGCTACTCTATGACAAAAGAGGGAATCGGGGAAGACTGGAAGGAAAGAGAAATTATGTGCATAGGTTTAAGACCAAAAAATATTTAAAAGGGACATCGGATGCTCATTGACCACAAGTTGATATGATTCTTTAGGGTCTTCATGAAATGCCTGCAACATACTTTTGTTAAAATTCCTCAATAGTCCAGGTGATATGTGAAAATAATGTTCACTTTTTCATAAAAGCATGAAACTTGGTACACTTGTATAGTTTGCGGCCCTAAACATTTTCAGAAATGGAGCCATCGCAAAAACACCTTGTGGTTGCCATGGCAACCATTTTACTTTCCGCCATAACCAAATTATGTATTTTGTGTCATAGCTCCTGAACCAAACATGATAACACAGAAAAGGTGATGTCTACCCCTAAGTTTTTATGGTCAATGATTACAACGATACCATATACAGCAACATAAACTGTTCAGGTGAAGAGTTAATTGTGAAATCAGCTATGTGAGAAGGAAATCACAGTATCTGAGTATCATAGTATCACAGCAGTACATATTATGGCTATTAATTTTTCTTTCTTTGATAATTAACTGATATTTTATTTAATACATTAAAAGATTGTTTTCAAGAATACCATCATATATTTCAGAGATATATGTAAAAAATAATCTCAGGTAAGTGTATTTTTCCTTACCTTTCAGGCAGAGTCAAGTAGGTAGTGTGTTTCCAATACATTCTTGTTCTCTCTCTCAACAATGCTCTAACATCACACGCAGATGGCAACGCAATCAGGTTAACAGTTAATGGTTAATTCAGTGACTTTATGAGAAGAATTACAATGAAATCTCAGATGATGCAGAATGAAATTTCAAACATATTTCATGTAAACTTAATTTACAAACACTCTCTGGGGCCAGAATTGTCTATTATGTTGTCCATAAGGGGGAAGCCAGAGTCCTGCATGCGGGCGGGGACACGTAGGTGAATCGCTAATATTTGATGTAATGGGCGGAATAATATTTATGTGTAGGGTGTGATGTGGGTCCAATAACCAAGACTATTTCGACTCGGTCCAGTACACGCTGAGCAATGTAGCCAATTGCGCTGCCACTGATTGACAGCTGTAGTGATTATATTAAAGGGAGCACTCTTTGCTGGCTTTCTGTATTTAATCTATTCACAATTTGAATAAAAGTTTTAATAAATGAGTTTTGTCTACCTCATGTCAGAGATTTAATGCAGGTGCAGTTCGGATCCCAGTTTTTATGTCAAATGGGTCAAGTATGGTATTAAATTAGTGTTGCTGTCAGATAACGTGCCGAGTGTTCTGTTAATTACTGCGATTGTGGGAAGATTATTTCACCAGCCAGGAAATGTAAACGAAAATGCCTCTCTGTCATGTTACCACGAGGCATCGTTTATTTACAGATCTAAGGCTTCTGGAGGGGATGTAGATTTGAAGAGTGAGGAGGAAGTAGGAGGGAGCTGAGCCTGTGGCTGTTCTGAATGCAAACATCAATGTCTTGAACATGATGTGAGCCGCAACAGGTAGCCAGTGCAGGGAGATAAAGAGAGGAGTGAAGTGGGCCCTTTTGGGCTCATGGAAGACCAGTTGTGCCGCTGCATTCTGAATCATTTGTCGAGGTTTGATTGCGCATGATGGAAGTTCAGTCAGAAGAGCATTGCAGTAGTCCAGCCTAGAAATGACAAGGGCATAGGCAAGAAGTTGTGCAGCATGCTCTGTTTAGAAGGGCCTGATCCTCCTGATGTTGTGCAATGCAAACCTGCATGATCGAGCTGTCTTTACAATATGGTCTTTGAAGGTCAGCTGGTCACCAAAGATTAATTTTTGATGAACCTAGCAGGATGATGAAATCATGCTGTAGTGTCGGAGTGGCAGGGAAAACGAGAAGCTCAGTCTTTGCCAGGTTGAGCTGCAGGTGATGTTCCTTCATCCATGCCGAGATGTTTGCCAGGCAGCCTGAGATCCATGCAGCTACTATTGGATTGTCTGGTTGAAATGAAATGGAGCTATGTGTCATCAGCATAGCAATGGTGGGAGAAACCATGTGCTTGTATAATGTGTCCCAGTGATGTAGTGTATATGGGGAAGAGGAGGGGTCCAAGAACTGATCCCACAGGAAACCTTGTGGCCAGTTGATGTTCTTTGGATACCTCTCCTCCCCAGGAAACCCTGAAAGACCTACCTGTGAGATAAGATTAAAACCAGTGGAGTGCAGATCCTGTGATGGTACACAGGAGAATCTGCTGATTCCAAGCCCTACTCTACACTGCCCAAAAAACTCGCTTTAAATATAAAAAAAATATATATATAAATATTTTATATTTAAATATAAAAAAAAACGTACTTACAATCTGTGAGTCAGAAGAGCCGGCATTGTAGTCTACTCTACCAGGATCAGGAAACAGTCCTCCATAAAATGTGCTGCACAGCAGTGCACACATCTGAATAGATGTTCTTTGGATACCTCTCCTCCCCAGGAAACCCTGAAAGACCTACCTGTGAGATAAGATTAAAACCAGTGGAGTGCAGATCCTGTGATGGTACACAGGAGAATCTGCTGATTCACTGTGTCAAAAGTGGCTCAGGAATGTCTTGTAGATTGCAGGATCAACAGCGGGAGGTCCTAACAGTATCTGTTGTTTCTAGCCCTTTTGTCTTTAGGTATAAAATTCTATCCCACAGACAGAACTTTAGAAGCTAAGATTTAGATTGTTTGAAGGATGGCATGCTAACATCGCTATTGAAGAACTCCTACACTACCATTTTCAATAAATTCTTCTCCCCACAAAAATTTTGGTCAAGCCTACTTAATTTTTTGTATTAGAGATATATAGTACATTGGTGAGTCACCCAAAAAGACTGCTCAGCAAAAATACAGTAAAAATGATGATACATGGGGCTACTTTTTAGGTTAGAAGGGGTAGTATGCACTGGCCTGTCTAGACAGATATTGTCTTGACAAGAAGTTAAAGGGATCTTATGATGTTACTAAAAAGAATATCATTTGGTGTAATGAAATGTTTATGCGGTTTAAGGTTAAAAAAA